AGCTAAAGGAGTAGAGGGAGACTAAAGATAGGAAAGGAGTGATGTTTAGAAGTAGTTTTAGGCTGTACTAAAAGATAAAGTTGACAGAATGGGAAGAACATAAGATGTATTTTGAGTTACGGGACTTGGAGCAGTTTTAAGACAACAGAATTGTGTGTTTAAAGATAAACCGTTTTTTTCTTTTGCTTTCCCTGATTTGGAAGGAAATCGAAGGAAAGAGGAAAAAAGGTGAGGAAGACGTGAAAGGGATTACTTGATATTAATAACCATTTTTTCAAGAGGCAGCGGGTGACAAAGTTAGTAAGTAATTTGTCAGAAATACTGCTGGTAAAGGTGTCTTTTTATTTCTCCTGCTATCATAGTCTGGAATCATAAGTTTTAATCTAAGTTGCTATTAGCCAGCAGTATTTTTTTCAAGGTCGGACAATAATGTTTCACAAAAAATTTGGATGGTTGATGCAATAGTAATCTTACTAAAAAAAAATTTGTAAAGCAAATTTCTCTTCACCTCATAATTGCTTGGCGGCAAAGAAGTCAGTCAGGGATAATCACCTTGGTTTTATTTGTTTTCTTTAACTTATGTATTCGTTCTTGGTTCTACAGTTTGGTATCGAAAAATTATTGTATGATGGCTTTTTCTAGCTTAAAATATTCTCTTATACATCCGTTCGCTTTTTTTCTGTTTTTTTTTTGTTTATTATTTTGAAGATTGTGCAAGAGTTATTCTTGTACAAAAAGTAGTTTGAAAGAAGAACAGAATGTTTTGGAATACAATTTTGCGCAATTAAAAATAACGTTTAGTGACCAGTAGAAGTTGTAAGAATATCTGCTAGAAAAGCTGTTAAGCATATGTTTATTTGTTTTGTTTTTTTCCTCTTCTTTTTTTTCGATCTATGATTACGCTTTAGCTCTGTTTAAGCTCATTTAAATCCTTAGAAGGAAAAGTTACAGAGGAAGGGAAACAGCCAAGAGAAGAAAAAAGCAGATGTAAAATTTCAGAGTTTGCGACAACTTTTTTCGCAGTCTGCTTAATTTCATTTCTCACAAACGTACGTTTTGTCGAACTTTGTCACATGGCGTTCCAAACGAAGTTAGCCTCAAAGCGTACACTCATCTCGCTGAAGAAGTTTCGGGTCATTTGAACGCAAATAATGGTGAAAGGATTTTTTCTCTACTTCTTCGAGAAGACTACTTTTATTTATTTACTTACTTTTTTTGTATTTTTTTTCTTTTTTTTTCTTGTTATTTTACCTTCCTTTATCGCTGAGAAAGTTATTGCTTAATTTTAAGTGATTATGTTACTTCAGAAGATAGCCAGGTGCAGAAGAAGCCAAGAGGTTTGCTTAAACGAACAAGTATTATCGGTATGCTTAACAAGCGTATCGAACACTGTAAAATTAGTAGCTTGAATTCAGTGGTGAGTTAGTGTTTCTTTTTGTTTGCAGAAAAAAATGATTACTCTTTTTAAACGTCTGTAGATCATTTTTTTTTCAACTGCAGTAATTTTTGTCTAATATCTGTTCATTAATGAGTTTGTGCAAAAATGTTTTAAATTACTTTTTTATAACGGCTAATCATTTACAGATAAAAATTGAAGCAACTCTTTTTTTTTCAAATGACTTAATTTCAGAATAGCCTAGACATAATGACTCTTCCAAGAATCACGAAATCAGTCCCACAGACAACTTTTGAGCATGGTGAACAAGTGAGCTCTCAAAAAATTTTTAGCAAGCTCAATTATGGCGCTTTGCACTCATTTTTTTGAGGTGTTGGAAACGATGCCAGAACAATTAGCTCTGAAACGATTGATGCCGAAGATACGTACCGCCTTGGTAATACCACAGGACAACAACGTCCAATATCGTGAGATGAATTTACGTAGAAGGGACAACAACCAAAAGGATAGCGTGGCGAGAGAGGTTACAGCTGCAGAAGTGAATATCATTTTTTGTTTTTTCTTTTTTTTTGCAGCTATTAGGTTGGCTGGAGCAGAAGTGCTCGTGATTTTCATTGAGAACTCTTTTTAGGTTGAAATATTTGTCTTCTTGGAACGCTTTGTCCCTGGATTAATTGATTTTGGATCTCTTCGGTGCCTGGATAAATCATGCCAGAGCACACGACCATTTTGTACAATATTTGCTGTTGCTTATCACACCAGCGTAAAGCACAATTTTCGATCATCGGTGGATAAATGCTTTCATTGCTTTATATGTGGTTCCGCGTTTTCAAGGTATAAGACACTTTATTGAATTTTAATTTGAAAAAACGTTTATCTCTTTAATTAGTTGTTTTTATCGTTTTTATTGTAAATTAAAAGCGTAGTTGCGTTAAAGGGAAGACCAAATGATAGTTCGTTTTTTCAAGCAAATTCTTTTTGTCTTGTTTTTATCTTTTTTTTAAAAATTTAGCAAAAGCTTTAGTTTTTTTGTGCTTGCGACTTCTTTAGAGGCTTTTGGTAGTTTTGATCTCACATATCTAATGCAAAGGAAAAATTTTAGGTATGATGAACTCATCAGTCATCTTGAGAAGAAACATGAAAATATTTATGAAGAACATCATGCTTTTCGTGCTCCCCTGAGTCTTGAAAAAGACCACAAGAAGTATAAAAAATCAAAAGTTGTTTCCTCTGTAAGATTCTTCATTTCAATAAACAAGTCATATAGCTTTTTCAAGTCATTAATGATGAATTTTCAAGACCTGTGGTGTTAATTTCCTATTTTAGAATCCTGCTGTTGAAGTTAGGTCTCGTAGTTTGAGTCCATTACCTTCCGAATTGGTTCCTGACGCAGATTTCCTTGAAAACGATGACGTGGTTGGAAAAACGGGTATTGTTTGTACAGCATTTTCTAGGAATACTGATGAAGATGCAGTGAGGACGGTGAAGATGGTTAGTAAATTACAGTTATAGTAAGATACTTCGAGTATTTGCCATTGTTTGGCTAAATTACTTAAATGACTTTACTTATTTTTTTTTCAGGGACAAAGCAGTGGTCTCAAGATTGAGAATATGAGAGATAGGACTAGGACATTTGCCAATTTGGTTGCTGAAGATCGGGAAATGTAATTTGTTTGTCGACCAAATAGTTATTCATTTATTTTTTACTGCGAGAATAACCTTTGGGTCAAAAATTGCAGATTTTGTAGTAATCTGTTGCAAATGCAAAGGAGTTTGGCGTCTCCAAGTCGTAGTCGGGAGAAGGATTTAAATCAAATAATACGTCTCTTACAGGTTACATCGGCTTTTTTCAATTTTTAAATATTAATTGAACTTAAAGAACGTATCGGAATTATTTAAGATAGAAAAGATATTTTATTTTCAACAAAGGTTTATAAAGCATGCTTTGGACGTATGCCTTTCAGGTTAATTCAGAAGAAATTTCCCACGGTGAGTTGGAAATGAAGCATTGTAAGCAGGTAGGAATAGATTGAAAGCTTTTTTATTCCACTGTGTTTTGAAAACACAGATTTTACTTGACCGGTGATTTTTGATTTATATGTTACTTTAACAATCGAAAATCTTTCTGTTTATTTTCAAGAGTTTTTGATTATGGCGCCAAATAATGTAAGCGTTTTTGTCAAATTTGTTCTATTTCAAGGGCGTTTTTTTCTTAGGCTGTCCTTGACTGTCTCGAAACTATACTAGACAAGGTTTGTGACAAGGAGAAGAAGGCGCATTTTGGAAACTTGGGTGTCGGCTTTTTTCCACTCGAAGAAGAAGAGCGTCCTTTAAATCAAGCATTTACTCCTTTAAATCAAAAGGGATGCATTAAGAAAGCACAGGAAAGTAACAGTTGTTTGGCTTCTATGGTTTGTGCTGGAACATCAGGTAGTAATGGAACGCTCCAGGAGATGATTTTGGTTGGTAGTGGTGAAATGGCGGATAATAATGTTGGGAAGGTTAATAAGTTATCTGTTAATTTCATGTCTCTTCGTAAGGACGTAAGTGCATACCTTATTTGTCAGTTTGAAAAAATGTCAAAGTGTTCTTCGTTTATTAGTTTTTCAAAGCGTATCACAGTTTTGTACCACAAGAAACCTTCTAATTTATTTTTTTTGTGAAGTCGTACGTATTGGAAGTAAGTTTTTTTAGCAGGGTGCTGTAAGTGTTAAAACCGAGATCAGTTCTGTACCGGGAAGCTCCGGCGGGTATAATTTTGATACGTCTAGGTTGGGTCCTGGCGATAAAATGTTTGCAGTTGATTTTAACGACAACTCTCTCCACTCTCAGGTTTATGGGCTTACTTATTTTCAAATTTTTCAATTACCGTTTAAAAAGAATTTAAACTTAGGCGTTTTTGAGTAATTCAAGTCTTTTAAGGGCAGAAGTTTGAATGTAGAAAGTGCAGAGGTAGATAGTGGCTTTGAAGTGGAAACATCTGAAACAGGTACGCGTCATTATAAAAGGAAGAAGCACGAAGCAAAACAGAGAAGGATGGCTAATCTGAAAAAAGCTCGGGAAGCGCGGAAGGTCTTTTTTTACTGCAGTAGAATTAGAAAAGAAAAAGACACTTGTGATATCTTTATGACAGTTTACAGAGAAATTTTTTTCTTGTAATAAAATGCGTCCACTTAAGAAGTTTGAGACTGTCATTAACATTGGTATTGTTGTTGATGTAAAGGTAATAAAATTTATTTAGAGTTTTATTCAGCTTGAATTTTCGAATCTATCGATAAATCTCTTAAATGATTGTCATTCAGGTGATTCAAGAAGCAGCTAAAATTAACGACAGTCGTTGTGACAGCAGTGTTTCTTTTAGAAGTAATTTTTTTGTCGAGGGTGCAAAGTTTCGTGCAAAAGATGACAGTGATGTAAGGAATTTAAATCGCTTTTTATGAGTTATTTTCTGCTTATATTTTAATTTTGAGGACGTACTACTTTTTCCTTTCAAAATTTAGGAGAAATTGAATACGTTGCTTATGAACAGCCGTCCGACACGATTAAGAAGGAAGCCAAATTGGATTGATGAGGAAAGCTTCATGACATTAAGTTACGGGTAATTTTTTTCATAAATTTTACGTAAACGCTTTTTCGAAGGATCACTGAAACTCAGAATGTTTAATTAATTTTCTGCGTAATTCTTTCTTCCATCTATTTTTCCTGTCTTTATACTAACAAAAAAGTTCTACGTAAACTAGGGAGCAGTATTATTCCACTTTTTACGAAGCCTTTGCTTAGTCTTTGTTTATTACTCCTGTTGCATTTGGTTAAATTTATCATTAGATTGATCTTTTCTGTTCCACACACTACTGTCTAGTAAAGAAATTTTCTTTTTTAATTTGCTTTAGACTTTAGTCATATAATTTAGCCGCTTTTTATCTTGTCTGCAAATAGTGTTAGGAACTAAAACTTATTTAGTTAAAAAAAAAACTTAAACGGATATTTGTTGAGGTTAAGTATAGAAGCAGTCGTTTGTTTGCACAGTGGTTGTCGGAGTGAGTGTTCATCTTTCATACAAATCATTCTGTGTCTGCTTTCTTTTTTACAAATGGCACCAAATGATAGGTTTTCTTTTTTGTACATTACGTCTAGGACAGTGGCATGTACTAAGATAATACTTTGCTGAGAAAGATGGGAGTTAATTTAATTGTAGGAAAAAGCGACGTCGTCGGGAGGACGTTTGCGAGGGTTTGCTTAAGGACGTTATGGGAACTTCCACTGAGAAAATACAGGAAAAAATTTCTGGGGAAGACGGACAGAGCTCCAGTTGTTGTACTGATAGTTCGTATTTAATAAATCAGACCGTAAAGTACCAAGTCAGTGAAAGTTCCGCTAGAATTTCTTGCTGTAGCGCTTATTCGAGGCATCCAGCTGAACATGGAGTTCTGGAAGTTACGGATAGTCAAGTTAGCTCATAACATTGATAGTGCTTCAAATATTTGTCTTCAGTTTACAAATGTAATAATGCGACTTTTAGAATGTTGCAAAATCGACATGTCAGTTCAGTTCTTCAAAAAACGTTGGACAAGATCTCGTCAGAAATGGTTTGTATTTTTACAGTACAGGATTCAGTTGACTTTGTTTGGTGCAGTAGATTTTTGACATTGCTCAAATAATTATGGTAACGACGTGGACTAATTTAAAAATGTTTTAGCAGCGTTATTCATCATTATTACCACTACTGCTCTTTATTTTATTATTATTGTCATCACTGTTATTATTTTTTTTATTAGGTGGTCCAGAAGCTTCTACTAGTGCTCAAAGTAAAGTATCTGAAGATGCAGCCGACGAAGACCCACCTGACCCATCTAAAATTCCAATATATTTAACAGAAGCTCAAAAGGAGTTATTATTTTCTTTTATTGTCCCGGTAACTGACGCGGAAAATCTAAGTCATAAATGTATTCATTGCGGTGCTATCTTTTCAGACATTAAGGTACAGTATTCTAGCCCTATTTGACATAATACGTTAACAAATGATTTTCCTTCCTTTTTTCTTTATAATAGTAGTAGTAACTTGTTCGGTCCCATGGTTTGTTTCCCCGTACGTTTTTGAACGGACTTCTATCGAAGTTGATAATACACTTTGCTTTTTAGGAGGGAAGACTGCATGCAGTAGGCCACATTCGGATCATAAGATTGCGTTGTTCTTTGTGCGGCTGTGGATCTTTTTATTGTTCAGCAATGCGCGATCATTTGCGGCTGCGGTTTTGCCCAATGTTGCATCATGCCCCAAAGGGTTATACTAAGCTTGATGTGACGCCTTGCATGAGTTTCAGAAGAGCAGATAGCCTTATTGAAATTGTAGATAAAGCTAAGCCTGGTCGTATCACGTTCACTTCCGGAAAGGTACATTTGAGAATAAAAGTTAAAGTTGAGGTCATGAATCATTTTTTTTAGTTCCTTTGAATGAAATAATAGAGCTGCAAAAACTTCATCGTTTCACATTTTTTTTTTTTGCAGATAATTAGTTCTTGTCACCTGACTCCACATCTTCCTGATCCAGAAATTGAGAATCGTATTTTGGGGAGTGATCATTTGTCTGATCCGGAAGGGGCCGCGCGAGCCTACGAAGCGTTGCATATTAAATTTGAGGCTTAACTAGAAGCCGCAAATCAATGCTTGGATTTTTCCAACTTGTAATTGTTGTGTAGTATGGAAATTCTGCACTTGTATTCTAATTTTATAGTCAAATATTTTTCTGTTTAGACCCGTATTCCTGACACAATGCACTTGAAAAAGTTAGTTACGAAGCTGCCCAGTGTATTAGTTGTCCGACTAGTTTTTCCATTTCATTTTTCCTGTTAAAATTACTACCCGGTTTTTCTCTGTCTAGTAACTAACTTAAAAACCCTAGGGTTAATTAGATAAAAAAACTTTGAAATAAGTTGAGTTTTTCTTGAGTAGTTTTGGGGAATACAAATTGTATTCTAGCTATGTGAACTTTCCTGACTCAGGTCTCAAAAAAATTGTTTTTACCACCGCCGGCGATCTTTTCTAATCGGTTTAAATCTTGTTACGTAGTGTTGTTTCTTTCTTTAATGAATGCTACGCTTAGTTATGGAAATATTCGTGACGGTAAAACTCCATTACATTGTGTAAATTTCCCAAGTATTCATCTGTAGTTGAAGGGCACGGAGTTCTGCAGGTGTGACATGAAGAATGCTGAAAAACATGTTTTAAAAAAATAAATCAGAACGTATATGACATGTATTTTGAACACCTATTTTTTTGTAATTGTGGGGAAGGACGTCGGATGTCCATAACGGAAGAAAGAACTTTATTAAACTTTCTACATCTTTGAAGCGTTCAATCTAACCGACAGAATCAAGTGAAATTTTCATGAATATAGGAGATTATTTGTACTATCAGCAGCGTAGTTTTCATTACAATTGAGGAAAGTGACGTTTCATTCGCAGCAGCTTGTTGAAAGAAGATTACATGACAAAAAAAAAATGGGGTTCTCTTTTCTACCATACACATAAACTTTTTTTTTTTGAATGAAACAGCCAGCGAAGGAATGTTTGTGGTCCATCAACAGTCATTTGTCACGGCACTGTTTCTGTCATATATTTTAACGACGTGCTTTCTAATATTTCGTTTTCTATTGCTGCATCGGGATAGTACGGTTTGTAGCTGGCCGTACTAATGATCTGAAATCACCTGTAGATTCTGAAAAAAAACTTGGAAGGAATATTTATTCGTATTTTTAGTAAGGGTATTAAATAATCAAAGTGACGAGCACAACCTTCCCATGAGTAATCGCTATTCGACCAGGTTTTTCATATACTGCAACTTGAATGAGGCTATCAGCCTAAAAAAGGACGTTGTGTTTGTCTCTTACCGAGTAACATTAACAAGAAAAGAATGTCGGTATGTGGATTAAAAAACAGCGCGCCCTATAGATACACAAAACCTTATTGTCATCCGGAAGCTTTGCCCCATACTCAGCGAGGGGTAAAGAATAAGTAGCTTGATTTTGCATGCGCAAAGATACAAAGGAGAAGTGGTTCTACATAAAACAAACGACAAAAAAAGAGAAAAAATGATTTCCCGAGTCGATGCAAGGGGACGAAAACGTAGGAGTCAAATTTAAACATTTTTTTTCTGATCGTCTTTTTCAGATCCTTCAATCAAATTTCCTTAGAATCTTGGAACCACTTTAGCACATATTTCTGCATACCACTCATGTTCCCACACTACATATATAACCAATAGGATTGATTTTTTTTAATCGTTTTTCTTAATCGTTTCTGTCATAATTCGCTTGAGCTCATTTTCACCTCCTGGCATGTTTAATAATAACAAATACTTGTAAACTACCAAAACTTCGACACAGACTTTGCAGTGCTTCAAGCACTCTGTGGTCGTGACAAACATTTCCAAATATCAACAGTTCAAAGACCAGTCATCAAAAGAAAACAAATTTGTAGTAAAAAAGCTTCAAGAAACTTCATATCTATGGCATTTCGCTCTCTAACAGTTTTGGGAAAGACACATTGCAACAGATAATCTGCAAATTTGCAAATGATCTGTTCGTTTTTGCCTGAGGGTTGCGTCACAGCAGCGTAGCAAAATAAAGGCTTTTAGGTAAACTCCTCAAAAAAGTTGCATTGATAAACGTTCTGTACTTGCCAATACACTTAAATGCACAAAATCATTTTCTCTTGTTCATGAGCTTTCAGTTCCAGCCTTGGTCTTCTTACAAAGTCTAACAACTTGGAATGTTTTTCCAAAATGCAGAATCTTTGTGGCCGTAATTATGTTTTTTACTGCTTCCCATTTTAAAACGCCGAAGAGGCACGCTTTCTTTCAGTAAGGTGATAATTAAAGAAATAGTACGGATAAATCTGTAGTGGACAAGGTTGGAAAACGCCAGGAATTATACAGTTTTTGGAAAACTATTTATACCTCAGCCTCTGAAACTTGTGTTTAGCCAGACTTGTCAAAATAAGAAAGTTACATTGCAGAAAATGAGAAAAAAAGGAATAGAAGTATCTTACTTGACTGTAAGTCATACAAGGAACTTTCTTCCCTCCTGCAACGAGCCCCTTGGGAGCCCGACTAAGTTTTTCGCAATACCGCATCTGTAAATGCGTCCTCATATCAGAGCAGAAGAAAGAACAACAACCACAAAGTGAGCATCGAAGGCGTATGATACGTAAATGTCCAACAGCGTGCTTTCTACTTTCCTGTAACCTGACTTTTGATTCATGTTGCAGTAGATAGGTTTCATAAGTTGTGAATGGTGGTACTTAAAATACTGCTGTTAAATAATTAAAAAAATATTTAAAAAACGATGAAATGTAGTGGCAAAGCAGCAGTAGTTCAACTAGGAGAAACTGATGGAAATTTTGTTTTCAGTAAAGACTTCAAGCCCGACTCAAAAGCAAGCAAGACAAAGGATTATTTAAAAACTCCAACCATTTCTGACTTGAACGTTTCATTACAGTGCTTGCACCGATAAAGTTTTTCAGCTGATGACTTATCTGGCCTGACATATGAAAATATTGCCTTATTTTGCGCTTCAGTCATATAAACAGGGATTGTCGAAGGGTCCAGAAATGACACATTTTTTCCAACACCACTTGGTGATGGCTAAATTATGTTCTACAGTTGAATTGTTGCGCAGAGGAATTAAACAATCTAAAAGTCAGAAGCAAAAAGATAAAAACCAACTATTGGTGGCTCTTCTTTTCTTTGGCTTAAATAACGCCGCCGAACGTTCGCACCACTTTTTTTCAAAGCTTCTGAAACGAGAAAAGGTGCAGTTTGCATTTTTAACGAGCTCAAACTTAAATAAATTATTCTTACAAACTTTTCTTGCGAAGTCTTCGAAGGAAATTAGATGCTGCTGAAAAAATAATTTTCTGAAGAAATTGCATAATTACCAGAAACCGGATCAGTGTTACTAGATCCCGCTTCCTTATTATGAATAATTCTTCTGGTAACATTGCTAGCAACTCTTTTCCTCTTCTGAAAAAATCTGACAATTCACTCTGTATACGAATAACACTTGAAATGAAAAGGTCTTTTAAGTATCTATAAAAATATACGACAAAGATATCGTTACTGCACAAGCAATACCGGAACAAAAACAAGATCGATCGAGGAAATCGGAAGACACTGATGAGAGAATCTCTTGTATCTCCGTTTCAATGTATCGTTTGGACCGGCTGAAGGTCCTTCTGATGACTTTAAGTTTTTTACAGATTCAAATGTTGACGCATTTTGACTGTCTAATCGAATTCGCTTACTCCTTAATCTTAAAAATTTCATACCAGTTATAGTTAATTTCTACACCATAACACAGATAAATAGGAAATTTTAAGAAAAAGGACGCTAAGAAATTTGAGTAGTGACAGCGTCCTTGTTTTTTTACCGACTATCAATGCCTGCTTCGCTCTCGCCGAGTCCTGACTGATTTGAGACCCTCTTCTAAAAATCGCAAAAGAACAAGCACTTAAAATTCTTATAAAACCAAAATCCAACAAAAAGTTTTCCGTAGAAAGCACTTACTTTCAAAGAAAAATGAGTTTTTGCTTTCGTTTCAGGCAGTTCTTTTGCAGTTCTCACTCGTCCCCTCTTATACATCTTCAGTGTTAATACCTTGTGATGACAATACGAGGTTCCAGAAATACTTTCTGGCTCTGCCATACTTTCTTTACTGTTGGCTGCTAGCTCCTTATTCTCGTCAGAGCCACTGGTTTTCCCTTGATCTGCTGCTTCACTTTTTAACCGCTTACACGGTCGTCTGCCAACCTTCCCTAAGTCTTTTTTACTACTTACATACAAAGATCTGCCTGTGATTCTACTCCTCTTTCTGGGCAGTCTTTTTTTGCCTTTATCACATCTTGGCTTCCGTACTTTTTTTTGTTCAAAATCCGTTGTGTCTTTTGAATGTAAGCGCTTGTCTTTCTTATTTTCCACCATTACTCGGTTCTAAAAACTATGCTGTTCATTCGGTTTACTTAAATTAAAAACTGCGATTAAAACATTTAGAAACTTTCAAAAGACCCGAAACATAGTGTGAGAAACTGAACTGTCATACGTCAAATACCTTTTTTACTTCTTGCCTTTCTTCGCAAGCAATGTTTCTTTGTTGCTTTATACAAAGGGGACTAGTTTGACGTGGCTGGACTAAACCGCTACATGATGCTCGTGAAACAACGTTCGAAGAATTCATTTTTTTTGAGTTTTCTTCAAAATCGACCACCGAAGATACAAGATCTTTCCTATCAGTATTACACACTTGGACGGGATTCCCAAGATTAGCATCATTTGGACTTTTTAGGTCAGCGTTTTTTGCCCTTTCATTATCTGCTACACTTTCCCTTTTTTTTGAAGGCTTTGATTCATTAGCACATAGAATACTAACCAGACGACATACACAGTCAGTTACGGCCTAAAACAATGAAAATGATCAATTTCACGGGTGATCAAAAACTCATTTATTAATCTGTTACCCTATAACTCCGTGAAAAACATATTAGTCGGCAGTGCAGCATCCCAATTAAAGCTAACCTCAAGTTCTGAAGCAGAAGCTAAAAGATTTTTTACAAGGCATATGCATTTGCTATTAATATGAAATTACCTCATCATGTTTAGTTTCAAAAGAACGTTCAATTTCATCTGATTGCAGTGTGACCTAAATGGCGGTTTTTTAAAATAACACAAAACCAGTCTCCTTTGCGAATCCCTACAGTTTACTTCAAAAAAAAAAAAGATGGCAAACAAAACGAGGGTCAATATTTACTTCGTCGTCGTCACTCCTTTCCAAATTTCCGTCACCAGTGCTAAAAAGGAATCCAACCCGTTTTCGGTCGCTAGCCCATAAATTTTTTGGGCAAAAGTCAACGTCCTGATACTTCGTCTTATCAACGTCATCCTCTTCGCAAGGACTCAAACTTCGAGATCTTTCACTAACAGACTGTTGGCCAGTCACCTCATTCTATAAATTTTATCTCAATAGCACTGAGAAGTATATGGAATACAGTAACTTTAAGGGTTTTAGTTTTTTTACACAAATAAACATATTGAAAGTGCAGCCAATTTAATAC